TGGGCGGGGGCAGGGTGGAGGGGGGGGTGTCAGAAACAGACTGAGAAAGAACCTCGAATTAGCCCGGCCTTGGCAGCTTGCCAGCAACAGCACGCTGGCTTCCCTGTTCCAAAGCAGTTCTGACACAGAGCTCCAGAAGGCAGGCATGGAGCAGCCGCGTGCCTGAGGCTGCAGAGTTTCACAAAGGAGTTTCCAACCAGCTTAGGTGTGGCACAGAGCGTGGGCTCTTCAGAAAAGAAATCGCATGGGAGAGGCGGCTCATGCCTGTTCCCTCCCTCGGCACTGGGAGGCTGAAATAGGGGGGTTGCCGTGAGTTCAAGACTGGCTGGGGCTACGCAATTCTAGATCAGCCTGGACTATATAATGAGACCCTGCCTTAATTTTTTTTTTAAAGCCACCAAGTAGAACCCAAACAGAAATGGCCCTCAGTGTTCACTCTGGATCCCAAGGCAAGCTAAACAAGGGTGTTTGAGCCCGGCGGCGGCGGCGCATGCCTTTAATCCTAGCACTGCCTAGGCAAAGGCAGGTGGATCTCTGTGAGTTCGAGACCAGCCTGGTCTACAAGAGCTAGTTCCAGGACAGCCTCCAAAGGTGTTTGGCTAAGGTCCATTTTCCCATGCACTGGTCCCTTCCTGGCAAAGGAGTGTGGGGTGGGGCGAGGGCCGGCCTTGCACTGTCGCCGTGTCCTGCAGCTCTCGTGGCCCTACTCCGCAGCCGCGTTGCTGCATCTGCCTGGAGTCCCAGAGCCACCACTGCCCATCACGGAGCCTGGCTCAGAAAACAAGATGGGAGGAGAGTCACCGCTTCCATCTCTGTCCCCAGGACTTTAGAGACCAATATTTGCAAATTAGACTTTTAGTTTTTGGCAGGGCCTCCTGTAATCTGGGCTGGCTTCATATGTTATGTAGTAAGGGATGATCTTGAACTTCTGGTCCTCTTATCTGTACCTTCTGAGTGCTGGGATTACAGGCATGTACCACCATTGCCCAGTCTTCCACCAGCCCCCGCGGGTTTTTTGTTTGTTTTGATTTTTATTTTCTTTTTTAAAATATTTTATTTATTGTGTATACAGTCTTTTGCCTGCATGCCAGCAGAGGGCACCAGATCTCATTCAAGGTGGTTGTGAGCCACCATGTGGTTGCCAGGAATTGAACTCAGGACCTCTGGAAGAGCAGTCAGTGCCCTTAACCCCTGAGCCATCTCTCCAGCCTCCCCCCCTTGATTTTGATTTTTCTTTTTTCTTCCTGCCTCTGCCTCCCGAGTGCTGGGATTAAAGGCGTGCGCCACCAATGCCCAGCTGATTTTGATTTTTCAAGACAGGGTTTCTCTGTGTAGCCCTGGCTGTCCTGGAACTCCCCTCTGTAGACCAGACTGGCCGTGAACTCTCAGAGATCTACCCGCCTCTACTTCCTGAGCGCTGGGGTTAAAGGATGTGTGCCACCACCACTGCCCTGCCCCAGCCAGTTTTGACTTACTCTTTTATCAAAAGCTTAGGGCAGCAGTGTGGCGCACACCTTCCCGCAGCACTCGGAGGCAGAGGTAGATGGGTCTCTGAGTGGGAGGCCAGCCCGTTCTACAGAGAGAGCTGGGTAAGGGGAGGTGTAGTGTCGGGAGAGAGGGCTCGGCAGTTTAAAGCTCCGTCTCGGGTTCAGTTTCCAGCACCCACAGGTCATCTCACAACTGTCTGTACCTCTAGCTCCAGGGAATCAAATGTGGCACCAGGCATGCATGTGACACACAGATGTACATGCAGGCAAAACACGGTAACTCATAAAATAAAAGTAAAATCTCAAACAAACAAACAAAAAAAGAAACACCCAAAACTGGCCTGGGGGCAGGGGACAGGGCAGAGTTGAAGCTAGAGACGCGCTGACAGTTTTCCTACACAGCAAACATCCATTTACACAGCTGATACTCAGGAGAGGTCAGACAGTACAGCCCTGGGAGGGGGTCACCTGGCATGCAGGCACAGCTCATTGGTTCTCCAGAACCAAAACCAGTACCTTTCCACCTCATGATAAGACACATGGTCTTTATTAGCGACTCATGGGGCTTTATGACACACTATCTAACACAAGCAACTCAGAGGAGCAGGGGTTTATTTGGGCTCATGGTTCTCAGGGTTTCCATCCACGGCCACTCGGCCCCCATGCACTTGGGCAAGACGTCGTGGAGGAGGCTTGTCTTTATATGTATTGGTGTGGGTGGAGAGACGGCTCAGCCGTCAAAAGGTTGGTTAGGCAGGCTCACAACCAAAATATGTGGGGCCAGAGGCTTCCGGACCCTGCTTTCATGGGTGCCCTGGGGATCCAGACCCAGGATTCAAGCTTGTTCAGCAAGTACCTTACCCACTGAACCATCTCACTAACACGCACGCACACACTTCTTGGTGGGCAGGAAGCACTGATAGCCGAAGATTTGAAGACCTGGTATAGCCTTCAAATCTAAGCCCAGTGGCCTGATTCCTTTCAAAGTTTCTCCAACCTCCCAAAATAGTGCCACCAGCTGGAGGCTAAGAACTGAGCACATGAGACTGTGAGAAACATTTCGAACCATTCATCAGCCACACCGGAAGCGAGAACAGCCCCTGAGCCCCAGGGCACCTGCAGGGAGCAGTGGGGTACCCAGCCCTGCATGGCTGTGCCTACTACCCCTCTGCTTGTCAAGGGAGCAATGGGTGGTCCCTGGGTCTGTGCAAGCCGTGTGTGTGAGAAGTGCTTAGCAAGGCTCTCTGGTCCTGAGAGCCTCAGGGTGCCTCACACGACTGAGTCATCCCTGCTAGCCTGTGGAAGACTCAACACAGGCATCTAAGAGCTGGAGGGCTGCATGCTGGGGAGGCCCCGTGCAGACTGGGCGGGGCCAGGCACTGCTGCTCCAAAGCTGCAGATTGGAACCTCTGGCAGCTGATGGCAGACCCAGCAGGCTAGTCCTGGCCACAGCAGGGTCAAAACAACAAGAGCATCCCAGAGTGAACAGGGCAGGCGTACTGACAGCACCTAGACACCTGGGCAGTTCTCAAAGCCCAGGCCATCCGCCCGGCCCTTGGCAGCATGGAGACCTACCTCGGGCATCCTTTCGATGGGAACTCTTCCCTGGCGCTGACTTATCCAGGCACTGAGCCGCTCCTTGGCTAATGGGGTGCACCCTGAAGACTAATGCACTGTGTCTGGTCACCTCCAGGCGAGTCCATTCTGTCCCCTCAGGGCTAGTAACATTTGATTTTTCTTTTTTGAATCCACTTAAACAAAGAGAAATATTTCAGCCTGCAGCTGTGCTCCTCCTGGCGAGTCCTGGGGCCCAGGGCGGCTGTTTCACGGTGGGGCAAGTTCTCAGTCTTGTTTATTCCTGCCGTTTCTCTGCCTTCTGCCCCGGTGTCCTACACAGGTGATTAGGGAGTCTAATTGGTTTGCCTGTAAAAGGATAATTAATTGATATTTCCATCACAAAGAGGTCAGGCTGCCCGTTCTGATCCCTACCGGAGCCTCTGTCTCCAGAGCCTCCTTTTCCCCGAGGTGGCCCAGCAACCTTTATCTTGTTGATAAAGCCGTAATTACCATCAGCACTGACACAGGCCTTAGGGTTGGTTCCTAGAGATTAGGAGTCCTGTTCCTGGGCCTCTTAGTTGGGGGGTGGGAGGAGGTAGCAAATGTAGCTACTAGGGCAGGAGAGCCTCCAAAAAATGAACCAGGCATGACCACAGAGCACTTGAAACTACCTGCAAAGTCCCTGCCCTAGAACTGGTGAAGGTGAGAATGACCCCCCCTCCTACCCTATTACCCCACCACTATCACCACCACAGTCAAGGGTGGTTCCCCCTTCAGGGATGGTGTGGGAGTAATGCTTAGTGTTGGAATCCATCTCCCTTGTGTCTCTTCAAGTGTTGGAAGTGACCCCCAGGCCGGCAGTGGCTGGAAGACAGACACTCCTATTGACAGCACTGCTCCTCTATCTGATAGCAGCTCTGTCGCTTATCTCTCCTAGGCAGTAAGATCTTAAGCCTTTAGGAGGCTCTTGCAGTCTTTAGCCTTATCTCTTCTCTCATGGTTTGGCCTAATGGGACCAAGTTTGCAGACAGGGTGGGCACAGCGAGCCTGGTGCCCCGGGGTAAACCGAGCAGGAGGTCAGATGGCAACCACAGCCACTGAGATTCATGGCAGCGGCGGCAAAATTGGTCCTGACACCCCTCCAGGTGCTACCTACAACAATGCACTCGGGTTAGGGTTAGGAAAGGGAGCAGACAGCCCTCCGGTCCTAAGAGGTAGCTGGTGAGAGAGGCTCCAGGGGGGGTATCTGAAGGATGCAGAGGGGAAGAGCTCAGTCAGAGCGCTGAGAGCGTGGAGCAGGTGAGGGGCTTGTCCCCTGCCACCCTGGCAGAGCTGAGAGCATGAGACCGGGAATGTTAATTCATTCCATGACCTCTCCCTAGAGGTTTTTCACTTGCGCCCCACAAGGCAGACAAAGCCCTTCGAAGTTCAGGGCAACCATCACAGGGTCCCACCAGCACTCTGAACCGGTTTTATGCTGGGGGGTGAGAAAGGAGTTACAGGGCAGATTGGTGACACCTAGGGCCATCGCAGTCATTCCACTGCAGACAGTGGTGGCCTGGACTCAAGGGTGGGGCTATAGACCTGCCCATGGGGGCAGGATAACGAGAGGAGTGAGGATAACTAGTTGGAGAAAGTGTAACGGTGAGGAGGGGACTTGATTTGGGGGCCCAAGTGCCTGTGTCTGCAGTGTGTGGATATCCCGGGTTATAGCAGGAAGCGGCGCGTCTGTTCTCCCGGGAGTCAGGAGCTGGGCCTCCACTGGATGGATGGACATCACCACACTCAACCTCTGTGAGAAGCGAGAGAGCGCATGAGCAGAACCGAAGCCAGCCCATACCAGGGGGGCGCCACCAGCAGGACCTGGCACGGTGCAGACGTGGGCTGTAACCAGTGATGATGGGGAAGAGGAGGTAACTGTTTTCCCCGTGAAACCCGGACCTTCATCCCCCACAGAGAAGCCATGGACGGAAGCACATCTGTTCCTGGATGGCAGGACTGTGAGTCAGCTTCACCTCATGTTTCCAGGAAGAGCAGTGGGCAGAGACTCCTGCAGCTGGCGAGCCTTCCACGTGGCCCTGTTCCTCTGGGGAAGCCACACGCTCGTGGGTGGGTGCCTCTAAGCTTGCTCCCTGACCATGCATGAGCCCCCCCCTGCCTCACCTGAGAGCTCTGACCAGACACGCACAGGGTTAGTATTGCAGAGGCTGCTGGCGGCCTGTCCAGACACCGTCCCTGCAGAGCAAAGGCCTGCTGAGTGAGCGGTCTGTCAGGCCACAGGGACGGAGGAGGCAAAGGTGAGAAGCAAAGGTGTCTCCCACTGGAAATGACAAAGGCTGCGGTTAACCAGACAGCCTCATTCTCGGGGCGGGCGGAGGTCTGCCACATACCCCGATGGCCTCAAGTGTCAGTTCTGTGTGGACTGAGGAGCCAGGCTTCCAGGTCTCCACTGTCCCACGTCATTTTTTCCCACGAAGCAGCACGGTTGGCACCAGTAATGTGAATGTCATACGTCATGGTCGTCATTGTCGTCGTGGTGCCTGCCATTTACCTTGTCTGAACGTCCTTTTTTTGCCGCCTTTGTTATGTGAGGTCATCAGCCTTGACCACAGATGAGTGGCCCCAAGCAGATGCTTCGTAGACGCCAGGCTGTGGTGACTTCTGGAGAAGCCCTATTACAATATGTCCAGAACCTTTTAGCCAGGGGGAGACACTCATAGCCTTGGTCCAGATATATTTATTTTCCCATCAGAAATCCTTGCTGGGTCTCTTACCTACTCCACTTCCCATAACTGGGTCCTGGCCTGAAGCGCTATTACGACGCGGTCCCAGAGCCATCAGTGTTCCCAGTTAGGGGCCACTCAGCAGTCATCCTGACTAGGCACAAGCCTCTGAGACACGAAGACAGGAGCTGGCATCTTAATGCCAAAAGTTGTTCTTAAAGGAGATGGCAGAGCTGGTGCCCCTGGTCCCTGTGAGTGTGCAGAGAGCTGAAAACCGTGTTGTCAGCATTGCTGTTCCCAGTCACTGCCCAGGACATCAGTGGCGCAGGGCACAGAGCTGCTGCGGGGAAGGACATTAGCTAAGGAATGTCCTTGCATAAGAAAAAAGGTTTTTATTAACGCACCATAAGACAAAATTAATACACCTCTGAGAGAAATAATTCTCCCACACGTAATTTGGAGATATTTCAGAGGCCCAGCTGCCACAAACCTGGACCCTGGGGAGGGGACATTAATGCCTCTGGCCCCAGGGCCCTGCCTAGCACACACATGAAAGACAATCCTCCACTCACCCCAGTCCCACCGAGGGAGCCAGCCCTGAGAGCTGACATGGAGGGGGTTCCCCCCCTTTTCCCTGAAGAGACATTGTCCTGGGACATCTCGCCTTCCCTAAAGATGCTGGCCCAGACTGTACCCCCTCTTTGAGGACCCCACCCAGGTACTACCCTCTGTCTTCCAGCCTTTGCTGTGTGTGTCACTCTTGTGAAGCACCCCGCCACCTCCACAGCTCATAATCTGAGGCTACTGCTCTAGTCAGAGCCTCGCCCTTTACAACTCCCTGGTCCTCTGGTTTTCAAGGGGCTTATGTCTCTTCCCAATAAGGGGCGCTCAGGTCAAGAGCCATTGGAAGGTCCCTGGAGTTCCGTCCTACAGGAAAGTGGGCTGTGGTGTGCCCATGTATTTGAGAGGAACCAGGAACCCTGAACCAACCTAGCATTAGAACTCACCATTTGGATTACGCCGCTTACTCCAAAAGAGACATAAGGTTCTGGGGCTGCAGCTCTACCTGTGGGCAGAGTAGAGGCAGAGGAAGCTGCCCTGTACCCCTCATGCCTTGGGATCCTGAGGAGGGAGGAGAAGGAGTCAGTGTAGCCAAGGGTCTGCGGGGGCCATCTTCTGAGCCTCTTGGGGATGATGGTGACCCGAAGTTCCTGTATCCCGATCTGCTGTGGTTGGAGTCTGATGGGGGAAAGTTTCACATCTTACACTGTGCTGAAAAGAGGCCAAAGTGTGGTCTGTGCGGCTTGGGTCTAGAGAGCCAAGTGCCTCTTCTGGTCTAGCTGAAGGAGCTAACCCTCCTGGTCATCAGGCAAGGCCTGCTGATTCTGTGTAAACCCCAGGCAAGCCCAAGTCCATGTTACACGCTGCCTATACTGAACACACAGCCCTGCCCACACTGCCTGCTCTGTACGCCTCTGTCCACCCTGCCCTGCCCACACTTACCCCAGTCATGCCACTCGGTCTGTGCTTCTGTCTGTTGCCTTGTCTGCACTGCTATGTCCAGGTTGTTCTGTTCACACTGCCTGACCCATACTCCTCTGTCCACAGCGCTCTGTCCATACCATCCCACCCATACTAACCCACCCACTCCGTCCCGTCCACTCCGACCTGCCCACGCCGCCGTGTCCACACTGCCTGGTCTGTACCCCTCCGCTCACACTGCTGTGTCCATGCTGCCCCAACCACATTGTCTGGCCTGTCCTTCCTCCCTTCCTCCCTTCCTCCCTCCCTCCCTCCCTCCCTCCCTCCCTCCCTCCCTCCCTCCCTTCCTTCCTTCCGCACTCCCTTGGGTACACTGTCCTATGCTACCTGATCCAAACTCCCTCTGTCTATTCTGCATGTCCACTGCCCTAGCCACGCTCCTTCTTCACGCTTCCCCACCCATACCCCTCTCTCTCGGACGGGCTCGGAAGAACACCCAGGACACAGGCTCATCCCCAGCCACACTCTGCTTCTTGCCCCTTGCCCCCTTACCCGGAGAAAGGGAAACTCTCCCTTTGCTCAGGGTTCACAGGGCCTCTCTCTCTCTCTCTCTCTCTCCCTCTCTCTCTCTCTCCCCTCGATTTTTCCGGGCAAACCCGCTCAGCGAGGAGACACGCATCCTGTCCTCCTGCAGCCTGTCAGCAGGTGCAGCAAGGCTGCGCTGAGTTTGTGGACATCATCCTCGGACCCCCTCCGCCTGGGATGCAGCCCTTTCTCTTCCTGCCCAGCGCTCTTGAGGTGAGCCCGGAGGCCGTAGGGGCCTCTTCCTTAAGCCACCGCGCCCCCTCTGAACCTCCTCTCCCTCTGCTCGACTCCCTAGAAGACGGACGGCAGGCCCAAAGGTGACCAGAGTTCCCCAGAGGTGGTGCCCACTGTCCAGGATTCCCCCAAAGGCCCCAGGTAAGAAGTGTACACCATCGGGTCTGCTGAAACAATGCCCTGGCCTCTGTCACACGCGGTCCTTAGCTGCCTCTAAGTCCGCCACTCAGAGACCACCACGGCGAGGGCGTCTCTGAGGTGATGGCCAGAAAGAGTTGTAGGGCACCTAGGCAGGCAGCGCACTCGTCCGGAGCCTGCCGCTAGAGAATGAGCCGCACCCATGTCTCTGCGGTTAGCGGCCCCTGCTCACCCAGTAAGACCCAAGGTGAGTAAGTCAGCCTGCTTGCTGCCCTCTTACCGCAAACCCCGCACCCCAACACCAGGTGGAGCCCCAGGAGGCCTGCTAACAGTGGCAGGGGAAAGACTATGGGTCCCTCAGAGGGTAGGGTGGATAGCAGCCAGCGATGGATACAGGGGGAGAAGTTCCCCTGTCGGGTAGGTAGAGATCACCGGTGGGGGTGGGGCACCCATAGAACGGACGTGTTTGTCCGACATTCATCCCGTGCCAGGCTGTGGGCACATCGTGCAGCCGGGCGCTGTGACAAGCCCCATGGCGCAGGAGAGGAAACTGAGGCACGGGGACTTAGCATTCAGCAGTGACTCTTCCTAGATCAAGTCTGGATTTCTGTGTGACAAATCAGAGGGCTGCTTGTCACAGTGGGTGGTAAGGAGACAGCGTGCCTGCTGACTCAGGAGGATGTGGCAGCCGGTTCTGTCCCCACCCTTCTAGCGGCTATGAGCCAAGGAGACATGGTAGGTGCCTTGCAGAGCAGCCAGCACCCACATGCCGGGTGCTCGGCTAGTGGAGCATGCGGGGTGTGGGCCTTCACTGGACCCAACTGGATCAGGAAGTCCTGGCAATCAATTCCTGAGAGACTGGCAGTCAGGGCAGGCAAGGCCTGTGGACAGGAGAACATTGCTCCTGGGATGGCCGGGAGAGAGATTAAGGGGCAGGTAAGGTGTGCCAGCCCATTACCAGTCAGATCTCTCCGCTTTGTAGCCTTGGCAGCCTTCGCCCCCATGTAGAAACCAGGAGCCCAGGAGTAGGCTGAGGGCACTGCTTCAGTGTGGGGCTCACGTGGAAGGCCCAGAGCAGACCGGCCCAACAGCGAGGCTGCCAGGGAAGAGAGGTGCGGTAGGGATGGAAGGAGAGCCTGTGGCCTCCCGGAGCCGAGGCTGCCTGCTGGCACTCCTGCCGTGGGCTTGCTCCTTGGTGATACAGTGGGTGTAGGATGAGCCAGGAATGCTGGAGGCTGGTGAAGTGTTGGCGAGCGGACAAGTCTGAATCCCCTCAAGAGGCGGCACCGGGACAGCAGGAGATGCGTCCCGTGCTGCTGCTCTTGAGTCAGGGCCTGTGAATCGACCATGCAGCATGTTTGTACAACAGCCAAAGCTGGCTTAAAAATACAAGCAAGATCTGGCTAGCGCGGAGTTCCCATCGGCCCAGTGTTTCCAGAAAGGATATAAGAGCCGACAGTTGAACACTGGGGCCATCCGTGTCGACTGCCTCAAGCCCCAGGATGCTTTATCTGGTCCAAGGGTGTCATGGACACCTTTCTCCTTTCAACCAAAGGCTTCTGCTGCCTCCTCCAGAAAAGATAGAAGGTAGCTAGTCCAGTCTCTCACCCACTCCCCACTAAGGAACTTCAAGGTGTCTGCAACTAAATGACCACAGAATAGGATTCCTGGATCCCGAAAGGCAGCGGAATCAGTGTGCAGACTCAAAAATTACCCACGCCCCCTGTGTCCACTTGTACCGTGCTTTGCCTGCTTCCATATTTCTTCCGGCATCGAGGTATTCTGAGCTACATACAGGTAGTCATCAGACTCTTCTTTTTTTTTTTTTTTTTTTTGGTTTTTACGAGACAGGGTTTCTCTGTATTGTTTTGGAGGCTGTCAGTCCAGCTCGGCCTCAAACTCACAGAGATCCTCCTGCCTCTGACTCCCGAGTGCTGGGATTAGCAGACTCTACTTTCTACTACCCAGATTATGGTCGTTCTCCGGTGGACTTTGCCTCCAAGCAACTGGTCTCCTGTTTCCACAATATGGAAACTCCAGAGAGAGCTTTAAAATTACTTGTTTATTTTTTGAGATTGGATCTAATGTAGCCCAGGCTAGCCTTGAACTTGCTATGTTGCTGAGGGTGACCTTGAGCTTCTGACCATGCTGCCTCCCACTGCTGAATGTTAGGATTGCAGGACTGTGCTGCCACACGTGGTTCATTAGCGCTGCAAATAGAGCCCAGTGTTTTATGCTTAATAGGCAAGCACTCTACCAACTGAGCTACCTCCTGGAGAGACAATGTGGTTAGAACAACTGTCACAGACAGGCAGTGAAACCCCCCAGCCCCCTCAGCACCATGTTCTCAGAGTCATGAGGTCCTCTCTCTTCTGACCTGGCCATCCTTACCATGCAAATGTTGTTCCTAGATGCTAACCTCAAGACATAATCCAGGGCTTCTGAGTTCTGTCTCCTGAAGGCCCCCTAATCTCTCTGAAAGCCTAACCTCTTCCCTAAGAAAGAAATGTGGGCGTGAGCGCCATGGACAGGGTCTATCCCCACTGTGTCTCCAGCATCTCTGGGAATCTAAGGGTTCTGTCATCTTCTTGCACTGCCAGATCCTCAAGTACCTTAACCAAAAGAGCCCACCTTCTAGGATTCTAAGGCAGCTGTCCTTTCCGGCAGCCTGGCCTGGCTCTGCAAACCAGGAGGGTAGGATCCCAGTAGCATCATAGGGGGTGTACCTCTGGCCTGGGTCTCTCACCTGGGCAGAGCTCACACATTCGAGGCTCATGCCCACAAGCTCTGATAAGTAGGAGGGTAAGAATGAGGGGCCCCTCTGGACTAGGAACCTGGCTGTTGAACCTTTGTTGAGGCATAGAAGGAGGGGGACTCTTGTGATCTGAGCTTGGAGTCGTCAAGACTCAAACCTTGCCAGTAAAGACCAGATCTGGAGTGTTCTCCCCTACCCCCAGCACTCAGAGACCTCCAATTCAAGTGTTCCTCGGGTCCCTGTCACTTTGGCACCGTATCCCCTCTGACCTCACAGAGTGTGGATCATACAGTAGACTACTCACACCTTTCATGGGGCCGAAACCCTACCTGGTTCTACCTGTTGACCTACTGCTACCCAGCTATCAGGAACACCTTTGAGGATCTATGACCCAACATTTGCCACACTTTCTGCCAGGATGCTCTTACCACTCCCAGCCTGACACAGCCACTGGGTCACAACTGTTGGTGCGCAAACCCCTGGTCTGACTTTTCTAGGGGACCCCAAAGGGGTCTTATTGTGATCATTTGGGCTCCCTGCCTTCACATTTCTCCCTTTATTTTTTTTTTCTATTTTATGTTCATTGGTGTTTTGCCTGCATGTATGTCTGTGTGAGGGTGTTGGATCCCCTGGAGGTGAGTTACAGGCAATTGTGAGCTACCATGTGCGTATTGGGAATTGAACCTAGGTCCTCTGGAAGAGCAGCCAGTTCTCTTAACCATCTCTCTCCTAAGTCAGAGAGGTAGGCCTGCAGAGTCACATCCCCTGTCCCTGCCTAACCCAGATGGGCTTGGCTGCCACACCTGGGTCACAGTTCTTAATCTCCCTTCTCTCCTGGCAAAGACTGATCTCTGCAGTCAAGTTGCCAAGAGAATAATTTCAGCCAAGGTAAGCACTTAAGATGGCTACAACTTTGAGACATTGCCACCACTACCTACCCGCCACCTCAGCCTGCCAGGCATGAAGGGAGAGAAGTCCCCCACACTTGCTGGAAAATGCTGGCTGAACTGGAAGTAACTTGCAGCCCTTTTGGAACCCTTCCACCCCACCCTCACCCCCTGGCAAACAAGCTTGGATCTCATTTAACCAGGCTCAAGTGTGGCTACCCAGCCTCCTTGACCTCACCATAGCCAAGGAAGGCAGCTGGTCATGGCCAGCGGTGGTTTGTGTATTGGTCAATGCTGGACAGAAGTTACAGTGGAATAGTGAATCATAGCCTCTGAGTGTTTGGCCGTAGGTAGCTCAAGGTCGAGGGCTGTAGGAGGAGAAGCGGAGAAGTTCAGGTAGCTACCATCCCACCAAGAGTGACCCACGTGTGAGCCCAGAGGAGGCAGCTTTCCTGCTGATGGTACCCAGGAGTCAACAGTCAAGGGTGGGCCCAGGACATGCTGGGATTGCATCCTTGAGGACACCTTTGTCCCTCAAGCTATAGTGTCTTAGTCAGGGGGTTACTGTTACTGCTTTGAAATACCACGACCAAAAGAGCAAGTTGGGGAGGAAAAGAGTTTATTTGGCTTACACTTCCATATCACTGTTGGTCAGTGAAGGAACGCAAACAGGGCAGGAATTTGGAGGCAGGCGCTGATACAGAGGCCATGGAAGGGTGCTGCTTACAGCCTTGCTCCCTGTATCTTGCTCAGCCTGCTTTGTTACAGAAGCCACAATGGGCTGGGCCCTCCCCCAGCAATCACTAATTAAGAAAATGCCAGCCGGGTGTTGGTGGCACACGCCTTTAACCCCAACACTTGGGAGGCAGAGGCAGGAGGATCTCTGTGAGTTCAAGGCCAGCCTGGTCTACAGAGCGAGTTCCATGATAGCCAGGGCTATACAGAAAAACCCTGTCTTGAAAAACCAGAAGAAAAAAGAAAATGCCCTCAAACTGGATCTCATGGAGGTGTTTTCTCAACTGTGGTTCCTACCTTTCAGATAACTCTGGCTTGTGTCAAGTTGACGCAAAACTACCCAGCACACACAGGACCCATCCCCTTATTCCTGTGGCCGGCCTGCAGAAAATACTCTGAGCGTCTAGGTTCTGGGGAGAGGCTGACCCTAGCCCCCAGCTGGTGGGTCTGGAAACCCGAGACAATCTCTGGTTAGGTTCGCCTGAGTCAGAGCTAGCACTCACTACCGTCGTCTGGAGGCTTTGGACAAAAGGGTTGGGTGAGGAAGAAGCTCCTCCACCTCTGCAAAGACTGAGAGTGACATTGCCACCCTGTGATTTCAGAGCAGAGCAGGGGAACACGGGGTC